AAAATGTCAGGCCCCAGCTACCCCTGGACTGAGCCCAGTGACTTGTGTTTGACTAAAGCATCTCCCAGAAAGGCACCCATTCTTGATTTGACATTGAGCAATGAAACATCCGCCACTGCCCTGGGGAGTTTGTTCTAGTGGTTAATCACCTCAGTGTTAAAAATGATTGCTTCATTTCTAAATTGAATGTGTTGGACTTTACCTTCCAGCCATTGATTCTTGTATGCCCTTCCCTGTGAGATTAACAATCCCTTTAGTGCCTGACATTTTCACCAAGAAGGCATTTGTCTATCCCAATCAAGTCATCTTCTTTTCAAGTTGTTAGCCTGACTAAACATCCTCAGGCCCACATTATAAAATAGGTATGAATGTCCATTTGTTTGGCATATCAGGAGCAGGGAATCCTTCTAACCTACTCAAGCATCTTGCAATGACTGGCTGTTCTCTGGGATCATGTTGCAGACAGACATGATGGTTACAGTGCCTATATGCTGCATCAGGGGAGAGAATTCACTAGCTTTGACACCAGAAAAACACCAGGCTCTTTCCAAGGGTAACTAAAGCATTGCTGCTCTATCAATTGTGCTGCCATCTCCATCTTTCCCCTTGTCTATTATCTCTTCTTCCTCTCTTGCTTTGCCCGTTTTACTTACTTAGTCATTTCTACCCCTTTACCCCTATGCCTAAGAGGTCCTGATGTTTGAGACTGAGGACCTGGTGCTGAGGAAGAATGAGAAGAATTTTGTGCTGTGCCTGCTTGAGGTGGCCCGCCGGGCTTCTCGCTTTGGAATGAGTGCTCCCACCTTGATCCAGATGGAGGAAGAGATTGAGGAGGAGATCCGTGAGGAGATGGACCTGACCCCAGAGGACACTCCACTTCTCAAACCCCAGAGGAAACCCTGTGACTTCAAGAACCTGGACCAGATGGTAAGAGAGCTGGAATGGTGTAACCCAGGGGCACTGGGGGTCAATCTTCCTTATACTCACTCTTTAATCTAGGGGTGAACTTCAGGTGGACCTGACTGGGAGCTTCAATGGTAGTTGTCTGTATAGACAGTGTGGTTCAGAGCAAAACGTGTACATGTGAGAGATTCTTATTTCATTGCAAATAAGCATTTCAAACCTAAGAGCACTTATAGGCTCCCATATGCAAAAGACTGGGTACCCTAGCACTTTACAGCACTGTTAGAAGATGGCAGGGACCATGACTCTAAAAGGAACAGCACGAGAGGAACCAGCTTCTTTAGTCCCTCAGCTGTGCCCTCATAGACCACAGAGGGTCTGATCAGCATGGCTCAAACTCATGCCTTCCTAGATCTTCAACCCAATCCTGAATCAAATCTGTTTTAGAGGATGAAAAATATTCATTAAATTTTCTCCCTCTTCCTGTTGCATTTCATTTATGAAGAGACCTCTGCTCTTCTTGTTCCTAGAGATAACTAGACCCAGAAGTGAGGAAATCCTTTCCCTACCACTTTCCATAAACTTGTTCTTTGGACCTAATCCCAAGAAGGCAGCAGCAGCAGCAAGCTGTTCCTGCAGGACTCCCACTCCATTTACACGATCAAGTGGTTCTGATGAGATGTTGGATAAACAGAGGCACTCTGTCTGTCTCACTGATTATAGCAAGTGGGCCCAGGGAGCTTATCTATATACCTTCTCCAAGGCTATAGTGCTATCCCAGGCTGCCTATGGAGAAGGAAATGCTATTGACCAAGAATAGTTTGCTTTCCATTCCTCAGGTCCAGCACCTTGTGAGCCGATGCACCTGCCCAGTCCAATTCTCTATGATCAAGGTGTCAGAAGGGAAGTACCGAGTGGGAGATTCAAACACCCTCATTTTTGTCAGAGTAAGTCCAGCTTTCGAGATGCTGTTGTGATATTAGTTTATTAACACTTTTGCTTGCAAATATGTCTATATTGCAAGCAAAGGTGTGATATAAGATGAAAGCTTTAATCTCTCCAACACAGGTAGCCATAGTGAAGACACAGAACCACAGGCTTCAGTGCAGGGCAGCAACCTGAGTATGAACCCACTGGGGACAGTGGGCATATACAAAGGCTCCTTGGTGACACCCATGCCACTATATTGCTATTGTTGCCTGAAGTAGCTGGACTGAAGCCAGCAAGGGTTTGTCTACCCCTGTTTAAATCCTACTGTCAATTCCAGTGTGAATATACCCTATGCCATTCTAGACTGGCCTAACTCATCTTTAGATGATGAGGACATCTTAAGCAGCCATTGGGCAACACCACTGCTTTGGCAGAGTTGTTAAGCCAGATCAATAAAGCCCACTGGCTAATTCTGAGGCCTGAAGAGCTGAGGGTGGTTTCTGCATATAAGAAATAAGAAGAGAATTATCCTCTTTGTAACCAGGAGGACTGCTGCCAACTTTGGCCAAGAAATTAAAAC